ATTAGGTTAATTAAAACTAATTTCTCATCCATTGTCATTGAATATAACTATGTCTTTAAATACATTGTATATGTATGATGTTTGGGAGGAGATATGAGATGCACTCCATGTATGATTATGTCTTTAAATGCATTGTATATGTATGATGTTTGGGAGGAGAGAGGGGATGTACTTCATTGTTTGGGAGGAGATAGGGAATGGACTTCATTGAAATTAAGTTGGCTGGAGTGTCCAAGCTGAAAGTCCCAAAAATCATGATTATGTATGGGTGTTGATTCCCGCAGACATAATGCCGTAAAATGGCAAATAGAAAAAGTGATTGTATGATGGTAATATTGGTAGAGAGACCTATTGATTTGTATTCTTAGTTTGGTTGTTTTAATAAAACAGAACTGACGTTATGAATTGAAACAAGGTAGTTAGTACAGCATGGTTTGCAAAAGAATTATGAAATGGTTTATCGATGACATTGAAATTGCATATTACCCTTATATCTTCGTTAAGTTTCATATGTTGTACTAGATTATTTCTACTGGGCTTTGACTCACCCTATATGGGAAAACCATTTTCAGGCGTTGGCAATATACTTCCGCTAAGGGCTTAACTTGGAAGGACTGTAGAGCTGAAGGTTCATATTGTTATTTTGTCTGTATCTTGTATTTTTTATTTGTACAAGCCTAGGGCTTTATTTGTATTGAGCTTATGACTCACCTTTGTTGTACCCAGGCAACGACTTGGAAAGATGTAAGCCAATAAGGCATATAACTATCTGTGTAACTTTCATTTTATGATGAATGTATATTAATCTTTGATTAATGAAAGTACATCGTTTCAATTATACTACTGTTTATGGGATGGATTTATTGTATTTATTTTGGGGCGTTACATGTTGTGTTGAAAAGATAAACCAAAGGTTGTAGTTTAAATTCGTAATAGAATGGGAGGAAGAGACTGGGCAGAAAATTACAATGGATTGATTAAATAAACAACTACTATATGTTACCTTTAGTAACAGTAATTTTGGAACTTTAGACCGATCGAGTTTTGGAATTATAAGGCTAATCTACTTCTACGAAAAATAAGCGCAGTGCATAAAAGTAGAGTGCAAGAAAGGTAGGACTCTTCATTATCTTGATGTATCCCGCAGGGTACTCTTTGCTTGCTATGTGTCACCTTTTCATTGAATGGTTTAAATGTAGTGCCAACAAAACCCTTATGTACTAAACGGACATCAAAAGAATTTTAAAATAATTTTTAAAAAATATATCATTGAAAAGAAAAACAAAAAAAAAATTAAAATATAAATTTTTTAGATGAATGTCAAACCAATTAGGAAAATAAATGGGTATGATGTTAAAATGTGCTGATGTAAATGTAAGATAGTTGTTTTTAAAGATCTGCCGCGAGAGACAGTAAATGAAATTGGTGAAAACTTGTATGTGCTATGGCATTTATCTAATTTCATTCACCATATTAAATTAAACCAAAAATTAAGTGTTGTATCTTAATTAAGTAGGATCGATTATATGAATTTTTTTGTCATTTTATTTTATCAATAGTTATATATTTAGTTAAATTAAATAAATATATATTTTTTCTCCTCATCTAACATCTTCATTTATAGTGATTGTATCACTCTTTCTTACCATTATATCAGTTGGTCTTTATTATATATGATCAAATCAGCTTAACTTATTCTCTCAATTTTTTTTTAATAAGTGTTACTCCTACTATTTTACGAATATATTTATCTCTAATTTTATCTTTTAAAATCTTATTACACATCCATAATTTTGATAATTGAAATAAAATCAAGTTACAAATTATGCCACCACACAAGAGAAAATTTTACCTTCAATATGTTCTTATCTTCAATAGGAACTTGTTGGCTTATTTTTCCTACGAAGGAAAATATCATAAATGCGAGCGTGCCAGTAAGGATTGAAAAATCCTTACAGATTAAATTCAAGCCAATTACCAAGCGATTGTGTTGACGGTTCTTTTGCCTCAACGAAGAGGACTTCAAATTTGCCAAGTGTAGCGAAAAGAAAAAGTAAAAGAAGAAAAAGGGACGGAGAAAGATGATTGAGTGAACAATCAAAGTAATAAATACTTACCTCTACTCCTATGCTTCGAAAAGAAAGTACATAAAATGCTTCGAAATGGAAATACTGAAAATAAATGCTTCGAAATATAAATCTATGTTAAACTACTCCTAAGATAAGGAAAATGACAAGAAATATTGAAATCAATTGTCTTTGATTTAAGTTCTGGATCTTTACAATGTAGCCATTAATGGCTATTTATAGACGAAAAAATACAGCAATAACTACTTAGTAACTACCCATTTCTTCCATCTTCATTCTTGTCTTGCCATGTGTCCTTCCACTCATCCACTTTGTCCTCCCACTCATCCACTTTATCCTTCATATTCTCCATTATCTCTATAACTTCTTTTAACTTCCAAATGAATAAGAGGATGCCACGTGTCCTGCAATTATATAAATAATAAATAATAATAAAAATTGCAGATTTATGTTGTTAACAGAACTTATCGTTGTTCTTGTTCAAGTTTTGATAGTTTTTAATTCCAAATGTTAGGAGCACTATGGGTTAAGGACTTCTATCACTAGTTGGAATGGATTTCAAGGCCACATCAATTGAGAACAATTTGCAAATTTCAACAGATACATATAATAAATGTATGAAAAATAATGGAAATGGACTACTTAACCATATATGATTGTTTACCTCAAATGTTTCCTTTACCATGCATAGAGGGTAACCAATTTGTCTAGAGGGTAACCAGTTTGTCTAATATGAGACGCAACTTTAGTTATCCTATACATAATTTATTTTCTCATGTGATAGCCACTGTAATAGTGTTAAAGTTATAAATTTTTTATGAAAGATTTTGCAAAGAAGAATAAATAATAAAATAATAAAATAAATCTTTTTCTTCACGTTTTCTTTTCTTTTCCTTCCTCTAGCAAATTTCTCTTTTTCAATGAAATACACTTATATAATACAATAAAAACTTGACTTTAGTTATCCTATTTACAATTCACATACTCATGTTAAAGGTATTATGGTGGTGTTAAAATTATGAATTTAAAGAGGAATTTTCCAAAGAAGAACAAATAATAGAAGAAGAAATAGTAAATAAAATATATATTTTTTTTACTTGTTTTTCTCTCTTGCAAATATTTGTTTTTTTTTTCTTTTTTTTTATTATTATTTTTTTAATGGGAAAAGGGGAAGGAATCTTAATGAAATGCATTTTTCCAATATGAAGACTTGACTTAAGTTGTCTTATTTGCTATTTATTTTTTTGTGTGATAGGCACTGTGTTCATATTGAAATTATGAATTTTAAGCGTACTTTTTAAAGAAAATAACCAAATAAAAAATAAATGAAATATATTTTTTTTTCACTTAAGCGTGTAATTGTTTATGACAAATGTTTTGTTTTTTTGAGTGAGTAGTTTATGACAAATGTTTTGTTTTTTTGAGTGAGTAAGAAATTTTTCCTCTTCTCTATTTGAGCATACCGGCCTTTTACGGAAAAGAATCTTAATGAAATACACTTGCCCAACACAAAGACTTGCCTTTAGTTGTCCTGTTTATAATTTGTTTTCTCATGTGATAGGCACTATTGTGGTGTAAAAATTATGAATTTTAAGAGGAATTTTGCAAAGAAAAATAAATAATAAAAGAAAAAAAAATAGTAAATGAAATATATTTTTTTCACTTTTTCTTTTCTTTTCCTTTCTCTCTTAGCAAATTTTTCTTCTCCTTTTTTCGTGAAAAAATGGGAAGAAATCTTATTGAAATACACTTGTCTAATATGAGGACTAACTTTAGTTGTCTTCCCCCCCGAATAAAATATCAATTATAATGGTATTAAAAATTTTAAAAAGAACTTACGTAGAAAGATAAATAATAAATGTTGCCTAGGAATTGTCTATGTCTACGTAGATATGGATGCATATACAATGGACAAATATTTTTGAGGCCTACCAAACTTTCAATTACTTCTCAATCTTAATCTGTCATGCTTAGAGGGCAAGAAAATAGTAATTAAATGTTCAAATTAAAGTCACTGATTTGATTATTCAAACCCAATTGATACTCATGTGGTTCAGTGAGATTCAATTGGCACTATTTTTATCTATCTTGGTGTTTAATTTTATGAATTCGACTCTCACGGGAGAAGATTGTTGTGAGATATCCTATATTCACTATATCTTTAGCTCGGGTGTAAGGGGTGGGCCCCCTGCATTATGGGCATGTAATATTAATTTTGGCCCTTATTGTTTTCACCCTATATATTGTATCAGTGTGTATGTTTTAGGGTTATAGAAAAATAAAAAGAGTTGCTGAATGTTTTGTAATCCTTATTGCGTATAGTGGATTTTGATCGTTTCTCCGCCGTTAACGTAGACATTTCACCAAATCATGTATATCTTGTGTTTGTGTGTATCCTTGTTCTTCTTGTTATTGTTTATTGTGTGATTGGAATAAGTTCTTGCATAACAAAAACATTGTAATTAGTTGTTAAATTTGTCACATAAATCTAGATATGAATGGTTGAATTTTCTCATATAATTTGAATCTATACGTCAAGTCTATCTTTATTGGTAAAATTCTAAGCATAAATCTCAGGCACTTAGCTTTTCTTGTGCAAATTATTTCATACCCATTGAAAAAAGAAAGAAAAAAAAAATGTGATTATTAAAACTCTTAAGCTTCAACGCATGGCCGAATCACACGACATTTAAATTTAAATTTAAATTTTATTTAAACGTCTTGCCAAGAATAATTTGATGTATTTATTTTAAGTACTTGCAAGGGCACGATCTTGCCAAAGCTTGTAGTTTAAATTCGTAACAGAATGGAAAGGGAGAGACTAGGTAGAAAATTGCAATTGATTAGTTGAATAAACGATTACAATATGTTACCTTTAGTAAGGGAAATTTTGAAACTTTAGACCAACCGAGTTCTAAAATTACAAGACTAATCTACTCCTACGAAAAGTAAGTGCAGTGCAAGAAAGTAAAGTGCAGAAATTTCAAAAATAAATAAAATTGACAAAGACGTAGAGTTTCGATTTGGTCAGGGGCTTCTTCAGTCTTTGCTTTTATCTATTTATAGTCTCTTCTTTGCGCATTCAAAGCAGTTAGGTTGTTATCTTCTACCGTGATCTCCTTCTCCTTTGCTACTCCTCGAGGCCATGAACTCCTCTTTGTGCATGTATAACTGCTAATAACCGCGTCTTTGTTAACTTCCTCTCCATGTGCCATTTATATGTTGTTTAGCATCTCCATTGGCTGAAAATTTAAATTCGTAGCTGTCACAACCCAAACCCGCCTCTATAGGTTTAGCATCGTAATCGGCCAGTAATCCTTGGATTACCAATGGCCTCTGAATAGATTATGACATAGTATAGGGCAGCGGAAGCAAATATATGAAATATACATAGTCCATTGAGCTATGTAGACATACATGGAATAGAAATTTCAAAACTGAAATATATACATACATAAGTGACATCAAACTCCCTTAAGTCTTGCATCACTATACAGGTAGTATCATAAGGGACTTAGCCCAACGTACAGATAAACAAAAACAAAATAACAAAACATCCTTGACATGGTTCACAAAACTTGACTTCTCAAATGGGAACCTCTTTGAGAAGCACGGTGGCTGATTGACCCAAAACTCTCCAAGCAGCAGCTTAGACCTGGTCACGCGCCTGCTCACCTACATACATAATATAAATAGTGAGCGGAAGCCCAGTGAATAATAACAAAGTAAAGGGGTTTAATGAATGATGTCCCATATCAGATTTAAAAAGCAGAAGCAGATTCATATTCTTATTCAGAATTCAGAAGCATATACTTGTCCAGATTCACAGATAATTATACGTGGTACACCCATTAGTGCTAACAAATCAGATACAGAGCATAAAGGGTTATACTTGACTAGTTCCATAAAGGAACCACCGGTACCGGGAACAGATAACGTACTTGAGCCACAGTATTGTTACCCCTGGGTGACGGCCATGAGACCACGGTATTGTTACCCCCGGCCAAGGGCCTTGTGCTCATAAACCACAGTATTATTACCCCCAGGCAGAGGCCATATACTAAGGATGCCACGAATACATTTCAATATGGACAATCATTCATTGATTCAGTTTCTTGTCATATCATATCATATAAGAAAATACTTAAACGTAAACATAGCTTTACCAAGTTATTACTCACAGATGGCTCCAAACGCAAACGGACAGAGCAGACCAAATGGCTTACAGTGCTTGACCTACACAAACATAACAGATACACATACTAAAACACACGCCCGGATAATACGTAATTCATTTCATTTCGTTCTTCGTATGTTTCAAAGTCTTATCCTTCTTATTAAGTCTTAATCACGGCCTAGGAATGCCTAGGATGTAATGAGGATGTCAAAACATGTTGTTCAACACTTAGTTAAATTTGCTGAAAACAAGGTCCTCGCTCGAGCATAGCTTCCTTCGCTTGAGCGGATGTGCAAAAATAAGCATGGTCACTCGAGTGGTCTATAAACTCTGCAGAAGTACTAGTTGTGTGAATTCTCCGCTCGACGGCCGCTTGACAGTCGCTTGAGCGTGAGACTGAGGTCTGAGCTTGAGCGCAACTCTTGTCGCTCGAGTGGCCTGCAAAAAATGTCAACTTTTGGGAGCATACATTTTATGCTCGAGCCAACTTTTGGTCGCTTAAGCTCGCTCGAGCGGAAGTGCAAAAACACAGAGTGGTCGCTCGAACGCAAGTTTTGTCGCTCGAGCGGAGAGACAAAATTCTGGAATTTCCAGATTGCACTCCCACGCCCAAAACTCGAATTAAACACTTCAAAACACAGCCTTTTGAGCCAAAACTCAAGAAAAAATTTACAAACTTGTAGAATATCATGAATTGAAGATCATTTTGCAAAATCAAGGCCCAAAAGCATTTCAATTAAGCAAAATAGAACTTGAAATGTTGAAAACAAATCATGTATACAATTTCTTGGCTTCAAAGCTTCCAATCAAATCAGGCAAATTGATGGAAAACAAGATGAATTCTCAAAACTAAGGTAGACTTGGTACATGCATGTGAGAATTACTTGAAATTCAAACTCAAAAATGTGATGAAAGTGCATGCACGCATGATATGGCTCAATTCCATCAATTCTAGCTCAACTCTTTTATTACACAACTAAATTCTCTTGAATTCATGGTCTAGACATCATAATTGTGCAATCTAAGGGTTGAATTCTTACCTAGGCTTTCCAAAGTGAGAGCTAGAGGCTTAATTCTTGAGTCTCTAAGTCCAATTCCTTTACTTCCTAGCAAACCCCTCAACTTGAGTTCAAGTCTTCTCCTTTCTCTCCTCTCTCACGTTTTATTTGTTTGAAAAGGCACAAAGATGTGAAAAGAGATAAGTTGAAGCACGTACTAGCTTTATATAGGCTTAGTTAATGAAGCTTAATTAATTGGAGTTAAAGATAACTATGTGTAACAAGCCCGCCGGGGGGGGGCATTCTGAATTGAATTTTAATGAAACCTACCATAAAATTCTAAAATTCTAACTAACACAGAAACAAAGTCAATTTAATGATCAGATGCTGATAAGGCCTTCAATTCATAGAACAAAACAGAACACAAACAGATATTTCCACGTAGACAGACATAAGCAAAAATAATGCAATACGCATGTTATTAATTCAGAATTTTATTTTAATGACTTATTAGGCATTCATAATCATATGTTTTAAGCTAATCATGGGTCAGGGTTATTACAATTTTCGTTGGCAAGGTAGAGGTATACCATGCTGAAAGCAAGCTGTCTTCAAGGCATCAAAGACGGTCGAAAGGGACTTACGGATACACCACAGAGCTGCGCATAAAGGGATGGATTGCAATGGGATCATCAAATTCAAGAAATCAATGGTTGATTCATTCCCTTGCTTGAGGTTGAGTGGGTGTGGGCTAAGTATCCCAGCCAGTATTTCTAGAAGAAGGTGAAACAGTTTCATCCCATGCAGAGAGTTTTGGAACAGATGAAGAGCTCCAAAGATCCATTTGTGCAAATGCTTGGTCCAGAGGTTCGTATGGTGCAAGAGCTTCCATAACTTGTATGAATGGGGGCAGATAAGTGTGGCCAATAAATGCATGAAGGTACTTTCGAGGTTGGTCATCATTATCCAATATCTCTTTGTATGCTCGATCAATGTAAGATAGGGCTTGATTGGCCATTGAAGATGTATCAGTCTCTTCTATACTCAGATAATAGAGGCAATGCTCAAGCGTAAGAGAGAATTTAATGAAGTTCAGTGCTCCATTTCTAAGAAGACGGTTACACTTCTAAGATAAACGAAGTTCATGCATGCCCTGGGATGTGGACAAAGTGTACTGATCCAATAATATCACAAAGTATTGGATATATTAGGGCGGGGGGTAATGTTGGCTATATATTTTGTATAGGCTAATTGTAGCTTATCACGTGGCTCGCAGAGGGTAATTTGGGGAGTTAATGCAAGTCTCCAATCAGCAATAGACACGTGATAATTCATATTGGTAATAATGGATCTGCAAAACATTGGAATAGTTAGAAGGCGCAAGATGACTTGGCCTAACGGTTACTCACAATTTAAATTTAAATTCAGGAGAGAGGCCTAACTGCAAAGTTGGCGTAATGGGAGCTAACTATGCAAGACCATGATCAGTGATCGTGGAAGGACATTTCGACGGTTAGAAACCCACTTCGACGGTTATCTTTAGAAAATATAAATAGAATAGAAAGTCACCAGAAGGAGGACCCAGACTCAGATCCAGAAACCAGTCATTTACTTCATATTTACTTTCCAGTTTTACATTTCTAGTTCTTTACATTTCTAGTTCTTCAATTTATGTACTGCACTTCATTTCCTAGGAGTAGTTTCAAGTAGTCGCTGCGGTAAACCTTTTCAAGGCTGGGTCATTTCATTGAAAGTTCTTATTTACTTAATGAAATTTAGTATTTGAACTATTTTGTACCTATGATCATTTATAAGTTTCTCCTAAACAAGCCACCAGTAAAAGTCCTCTTCATTGACGCTGAAAGAACTTTAACATAATCGTATGATAATTGGTTAGTAATTAAAATTTTGTAAGGACTTATTGATCCTTACTGGCACGTTTAAAATTATATAGTTTACTTTTCAAAATTTGACTCTATTTTTAAATCATAATTTGGATAAAATATGTTAACCAAACATAATTTTAAAATACAACTCAAAATTATTTTCAAAACTCTTCTCTTCTCTTTATTATTATTTAATCAATTAATCACTTTTCTCTATCATCTCTCCTCTCTCCTCTTACATTCTCTCACATTCTATATCAATCAATCAAAAAAAAAAAAAAAAAAAAAAAAATCATCCCAAACGATCAATCTATTTAAATTTTCATCAAATTTAAAACTTGATGAAGAATTTGTTCAATTATCAATTTGATAAAGAAATACTTCTCCCTTAATTTGATAAACATTTAATGAAAGGATTGAATATGCTCTTATATGCATCTTCTTACTTGTTAAGACTTGTATGTAACCCTCTATTTCTATATATAGCCATTAAGACGCTGAGATATATGTATTTTTTTTTTTTGTTCTTATCAATTAATTTTTACATTCATATAATTTTCTTATTTTTAGATAATTATTAGGCCTAAGCATTGGAATGACATCAATGGAGAGCAGGGAATACAATTTTTAATAAGTGGTGCATGACTTTTCATAGGAGAGTTGTAAACGTTGACTAATTTAAACATTTTATTTGATTAGAGGGTTGAGATTTTTTATTCAAAAAAGTTTCAAAATTAGATTGACTCATATGTGATAAAAATATTATTCGGAACATAGGGATATGAGAGAATGGACATAAATAATCCTTCGTAGCAAATGTC